ATAGCAAGCTCTATACTGACTGAACTATCTCCCCAAGCCCCCCTCCCCCCCTTTTTTTTTTAAAGAACTATAGGAGAAAGACCAAACTAAAAACATGTTAGTATTCATTCAAATACTTAATGACCTTAGACAGAAGCTTTAAGAAAGCCAGATCATTCTCATGCTCCTTTCTGAATGCCATAGCAACTGCTTGGCATCTGGATGTTAACTGTTTTCAAAATATCTACAGTGCAGTGGTTCAACCAGGAAGAGGGGGAAGAAAAAGATGAAAACAGAGGCCAGAGGGAAATATGCTTGTTACAGTATGTACTTGTTTTAAAAAATAAAAAATAAAAAATGAAAAGTATAGTGCAGTGGTTCTCAAAAAGAGGTACATACCACTGACCTGGCACTAGGCTGAGAACAACATAGAAGGGTCCTGTTTGCCATCTCTTGAAGAATGCTTCCAGGCCTTGTTATAACCAAGTTAGTGATGCTGTTTCAGGCAGTTTGTGGGTTCATTTTGGATTTTGTATGTGTGATTCTAAGTGAATTCATGGAAGTACCTTATGATTTGATGTTTAGCTTTCATTCTTGGTAAAAATAAGTCTCATTGGAATGTAGCGTTTTCACTCCTTTACACATCAGCTATGACTGCCTTTTGCCAAATTGGAGCTGGATGATTGAACAGACACTGTATAGCCCAGGTATCTAAAATACATCTAATCAATGTAAGCACTTTGCCAGCTCCTCATTTCATTGGTTAGAGGGAAATGCAAGCTCCTCCTGTGAGCTGCAAAGGGGTTACTGTAACCTGGGTCTTATGACTGTTACTCTTCAAGTCTCTGACCACTGCTCTTCCCAGCACAGCCACTCCCTGTGCCTTTCCAGCTCTAGGAGGCTCTATGTAGCAGGCCTTATTCAGTTGAGCCATTTACCTGTCATATCTTCCTCTAGCTGACCATTACAGCTTTCATTTGGAAGTATTTGATATTAAAGTTCATATGTGATTATTTGTATTTCAGCCATCTTGTACTTGAAATTCAATTTAGGTTGCAGTATGACAGCTTTTGCAAAGAATTTTTGGGAAAATAATTCTGTTGATAGCATATTTGAAATATCTTAAAGTAGAACAGAGAATTTTTTCTCTTGCATCTAAATGCATACTAAAAATCAAGTGATTTGGGGCTCGGGAAATGTGCACAAAGCACTTGCTATACAAGTATAAGAAAAGGAGCCCGGATTCTGAGAACCCATGTGAAAGCCAGGCAGGTATGCTGGCCACCTATAACCCCAGTGCTGGGGCAGGGGCAGGGAATCCCTGGGCCAACCTGGCTAACTAGCTTAGCTAGAATCAGTGAACCAGGGTTCAGAGAGAGACCCTACCTCAATAAGTAAAATGGGTGGAAATTAAGGAAGATACCAATGTCAACTGTGAGCGTCCATATACATGTACATACATGTTCACACACACACCCATGTATATGTGTACCCCCACCCAAGTAAATATCCATCCATACATACGGTGTGTGCATGTGTGCATGTGCACACACACACACACACACACACGGCTCAAATAATGTAGTCTGAGCTAGATAAGCTTTTCTTACTGACATAATTTTGAGAACGGGACTGGCATGAGGGAGGCACTCTCCTCCCCAGAGCTTGCTCTTCTCTTCCTGAGTCTTTTGCCTGATCCATGGTTTCTTATTTTAAACCCTATAAAGTATGTAATATTTTTATATTGTAAACAATATGATTTAATGTAAAAGACATTGAGGCTCTACCCAGAAGCTAGAGAGCTACTGGGGACTCCTAACACTGCTAACTCCTTGTGTGAATTGTGATAACACTCGGTAAGGGCGGCTAATGGTAGCAGAATCTTAATGCTTAAATGCTTTGAAATATTTCACATGTTTTTGTCATATGAACAGCTTTAGATTACCTATTCCTTACTAAGGTCTCCTTTAAAATACCAAAGATTAAGTCTTAAATCATGCTATGACTTGTGGACACGATCAAGAATCTAATGATATCTTAAATGCAATGAGTGAATTGATGTTGTGGGAAATGTTATTTGTTAGGCTTAATGAGAAATGAATAAGCACTTAGTATGTTTGATTTGTATTGTTTTGATGGGTAAAGGGAAGTCTGGATGTATATGGGTCCTCTTATTACCAGTAAATGCTGAGTGCAGGATAAAGGTAATGCTTATCTTTTGTTAGAAAAACACTCGAAATGTGAGCTTATCAGAAGTAGTCAGTTACTTTAGGAGTATATCTTCATGGTGATGGCCATATGCCATACTTTAAATCTCATTCAGATAGAGCGCCCATTCTGAGAACTCATCTCTACTGCTAACCAGGGTATGCCTGTGTATGAGAGGAAGTAAAAAGGGTGGGGGAGGGGGAGAGGAGGGGAGGGGAAAGGAGAGCATGAACACACACAAGACTGCACTCAGGAATGTATATATGAGTGACTGTATAAATATATAAATGACTTAGAAGAATAGTTAAAGTCAGTCCCCAGGAGGCAGATGTGACTGGGACCGAAGAGTAGGGACATGGAAAAGGGGGCAGTTTTGCTCTTTTCTCCTAATTTCCTTGTGTGACGATAGAATAACCTATTGCTTACTGTGTGCCAGACACAGACTCTCTCATAAAGCTCTTGAAATGTTCTTCTGCTGTTAATCCTTACAATACTGCTGTGAGGTGGGATCTTGTCCCTAACACACACATCCCCCCTCCCCCCATGTAGCTGGACAATGGAGGCACTCGTATTTCAAGGGTGGAAAGCACTCAGATAAGTGTTAACACAGGAAAAGGTGCTAGAGCCAGAGAATTTCTAGGTACCTAAGTTCTGTGTCCAACATGCTTAAGCTGGCTATACTGCTTTTAACTGTAGGTGTTTCAGTGTAGTATTATCCATTGATTAGTGAGTGCTCCCTGACCAAAAGGGACAGATGAAAGGCCACACTTATTTATTGTGCTGACTGATCAGCATAGTGATCAGTCACCACTGCAAGAGAAGATACTGAACGGGTCTGTACACTCGTTTAGATAGATTATCTATACATTAACTAGCTGTCAGTCTACCCACCTGCTTACCATTTATATGTATCATGCTTAGGACGGATCATCCCACTTCAGATGATCCAATCAAGAACATTTCTGACAGGCAGGCCCAGCTGCCTGTTTTAGTTGATTCCAGCTGTAGTCAGGTTGACAGCCAAGTTTAGCCTTTAGCCATTAGAAGCAGTATGTATGTACTCTTAGCTCCCTCCCCATTGCCTTTGACATTTGAGTTTGTTCCTTATTTCCAGGCTGATATGTTGAAAGCTTGTTTACTGTAGCCACTTATGTTTTCTAATGAGGTTAAGGTTATAAACTTTCTTAAACAAAACAAAAAACCAAAAAACCTATTTCATTATTGGTACTTGTAGGGTACCACACAGCAGATGTGTGGAGGTCAGAGAAGAACTTTGTGGAGTTGATTCTCTCTTCACATCTTTACATGGATTCTGGGGCCGAACTTAGGTTGTCAGAGTTGTACAAGAACCTTTACCCACTGAGCCATCTGACTAGCCCAATTAATTACATTATTTATTGTGTGTGTGTGTGTGTGTGTGTGTGTATGCATGTGTGCACATGTGGTGGTCAGAGTACAACTTGTGGGATTTGATTCTCTCCATCCACAGTGTCTGTCCTAAGGATCAAACTTAGTTTGTCAGGCTTGGTAGCAAGTCAAGCCATTTCACTGGTCTCCGACATTTCTTAATATATTCTTTTGACACATTGTTTCAGAGTGTTCACAGTAAGATTTGGGGTAGAAGGAAACACTAAGTGGGAACCTTTTAAAATGATCCATCTATTACTAGGGAACTGGTTAAAAAAAAAAAAACAAAAAAAAAACCTTGGATGATATTTTAAGCATGTCAAGATCAGTCACTAAACAGTACCTCTGGGGCTGTGAGATGGTGTTGTGGGTGTCTGCTGTGCAGGCATGGAGCCCTGAGTTCATGTCCCTAGCTTCTATTAAAGCCCGGTATGGGGCTGCATGTTCCTGTAACCCAAGGGCTGAAGGATGGAAGAAAGAAGATCCTAGGAGTTTGCTTGTCAGCCTGTATAGTCAAAACACTGAGTTCCAGATTTTGTGAGTTACCTTGTCTGTAAAAATAAAGTAGAGAGCCAGGCATAGTGATGTATGCCTTTCATTTATTCCAGCATTCAGAAGGACAAGATAGGTGGGTGGATCTCTAGTTTCTAGTATGAGACTAGCCTTGTCCATGTAGAGGTTCCAGGCCAGCCAAGGTTATATAGTGCCCTGCATAAAAAAAAAATGTAAAAGACAGAGCAATAGAGGAAGAAACCCTGGGTCAACCCTGGCTTCCTCATGTGCATGCATAGGCAAGTGCACCATCACTCAAGCACATGGATACCCATGCTAGCTCTTACTTTCTCCCCCACTTCACAAAACCCACAGTTTTTGAAGAAAAATCTGTTTTTTGGGGGGTTAGAGGACTCAGTGGTTAGAGCACTTACTGCACAAGCATGAAGAACTGACTTTGGATCTCCATAACCTAAATAAAAGCCAATTAAAGCAACACATGCCCAGAACCCAGCAGATCCTGGAGGCTTACTGGTCTGTCAGTCTAACTGAGGCAACAAGCTTCCGGTGCAGGCAAGTCGCTGTTTCAAGAAAGAATGTGGAGACATGATCAAGAAAAGATCCTGACATCACCTCTGACCTCCATGTGCCTGCACTGGAGAATACCCTCTCAACATACCTGTATAAACCTGCAACCACACCCATCTTCTCCCATCTCACCACACCCCACACAGTAAAGCCTGTGACTTAAAAAGCTGATTTAATACTGATTTAAATAGCCATGATGAGCACACTTGTGAATATAATTTGCTGGAAATGAATAAACAGACTTTTTTTTCTCTAGTGTATTGGGTGCCTAGCACTTTCTGGTAAATTTACAGTGTCTCAGAGCGTGTCTTACTTCGTCCTTTCAGGAGCAGTGGCAGCGGCATGGAATAACCCCCTGTCCAGCTGGTTCAGTGCTATGCTCCATTGCTTTGGTGGAGGAATTTTATCCTGTATACTGCTTGCAGAGCCTCCGTTGAAGTTTCTTACAAACCACACTAATATTTTACTGGCGTCTTCAATCTGGTAAGTTGCCTTAGGCTGCACGATGAGGTCTTTTAAGAATTGTGTAATAGGTTGCAGTGAAGTGGATCTTTTTCCTTTAAACTTTTTTATGTCCTTAAGTTAATGTGTGTGCAATGAGTGAACCCAGATAGTGCCAAAGATTTGTAAGTGCAAAGTTTGCCTCTTGCTCTTCCTCTTCTTATCTTCTCCCAAAGAAATTGTTCTCAGTGTTTGTGGGAACATTTTAACATAAGAGAATATCAAATATTGGCCTAAATATTTTGTTTTGTGAAATAAACTTAAATAGATAGAATTATGACATGATAAAAATGTACATGTGAACAACTACATGAAAAGTCCAAGTGTCTGTGCTTATACATTAGCTTTTCTTGTCTTAGTTTCATCATTGCCTGTTGATTGATTGATAGATAGATACATACATACATACATACATACATGCATACATACATACATGCATGCACACATACATACATGCATACATACATACATACATACATGCATACATACATACATACATGCATACATACATTCATACATACATACATACATACATGCATACATAGGTTCAGAGTCTCACTGTGTAGCCCTGGCTGTCTTAAAACTCAGTACTTACATCAGGCTGCCCCCCAACTCATAGAGATCCACCTCTGCCTCCCCAGTGCTGGGGTTAGAGGTTTGCCCCACCACATCTGGTTATTGGATTATTTAAAGGCTTCTGATATCTTTAAACATGAATTTGGAAAATTACCGTAGGAATTGGCTTGGATTCTTGTTCATGCAGATTTAGATGTTCTTAAGAAGATTGATGAATTAAGTTAAAAATATATTGATTATTGATACCAATCAACATGCTTTGTTTTATTTAAAGTAAACTATGCTTTCTATTAAAAACCCTATGGGGCTGCAGAGGTGGCTCAGCAACTGCCATCTGACTGCTCTTCCAGAGGTCCTGATTCAGTTCCCAGCAACCACATGGTGGCTCACAACCATCAATAATAGGATCTGATGCCCTCTTCTGGTGTGTCTGAAGATGGCTAGCATACATAAAATAAATAAAAAAAATATATTTTTAAATAACCAACCGATTAATTTAATATATACTAGGAACATTTAGAATTCATTTTTTTTTTCCTGGGCCTGGTGAGAGGGCTGAGTGGATAAAGGAACTGAGTTCTAGCTGTGGAACTCACAAAGCTGGAAGGAGAGAATCGGCTGCACAGAGAAGTCTCTTGGCTTCCACACATTGACTGTGGCATGCAGCCCTCTGCTCATCATGCACCTACAACACAATGAGAAAAAGAACCAAACATTCATTTTCATTCTAATACTTATAGATGTATTAAGTCGTTATAAACAGGGGCATGTTACTGTTGTAGTAATGGTAAAGTAGTAGTGGGAACTTGTGGCTGTGGAAAGTTAGGTGGGTGGAATTATTCACTTGATAACTAGTGATTATTGAGTTAATATTATATACCAGCTAAGATTCATTTTCATATTATATCATGAGTCCTGTGAAGTAGTACATTAGTTAGGGTTCTACTGCTGTGAACAGACACCATGGTCAAGGAAAGTCTTATAAAGGTCAGCATTTAACTGGGGCTGGCTTACAGGTTCAAGGCTCAGTCCATTATCATCAAGGTGGGAACATGGCAGGGTCCAGGCAGATGTGGGTCTGGAGTTGTTGAGAGTTCTGTCTCTTGTTCTGAAGGCAGCTAGGAGAATACTAACTTCCAGGAAGCTAGGATGAGGGTCTTAAAGCCCACGCCCACAGTGACACACCTACTCCAACTTTAACAAGGCCACACCTCCAAATAGTGCCGTTCCCTGGGCCAAGCATATTCAAACCACCACAAGTAGCTATTATAATTTTTTATTGGTGACAAAATCTTTTACTGGTGACATTAAGAGAAAAAAATTACTTAAGTACTACTATGAAACTATATATTGCATCTCTCTGATCTGTAGCTTAATATTGGATTCATCTACAACTACTCTAGACATCCAGTAAATTTGAAAGCTATCCGATCAGGCATGAAATGACTGAGTGCATCGAATTGTTTTGCAGGATGACCTCTTCCATATGAACAGGATTCCAAGTTTACTGTGTTTTTGTTTTTTAAAATCCAATCTGGTGGTAAATGACGGTTTTTTACTAGCAATTACAAGTTTCTCTCCTAAGTAGCTGGTAGCTAAAATCATGACTCACTCTATCAAATGAGAGTGGAAGAGAATGTACTATCAACCTCAAACAGGAAAGTCTTCAAAGATTTTACAGGTTGTTGCTTGCTTTCAGTAAAATCACTACTTTCTCTCTTTTAGTACTTTATATTTTTGGCTGTGGAAAGTGGGTGGAGTGGAGTTAATCATTTGATAGCTAGTGTGTATTGAACTATATATTAGGTAAATTCTTTATATTTATTTACATACTTAAGAGTCCTGTGAAATAACTATTGTAATTATTATTTTAAAGATTTATTTATTTTTATTTTATATGTAAGGATGTTTTGCTTGAATGCATGTATGTATGTATGTATATATATATGTATATGTAACATGAATGTGTGTATGTGCCTGGTGCCTCAAGAGGCCAGAAGAGAACATTGAATACCCTGGAACTGAAATTACAGATGGCTGTGAGCCACCATGTGGGTGCTGGGAACTGAAGCCAGGTTCTCTGCAAGAGTAGCCACTGTTCTTACCTAGCTGTTTAAAGTAATTAGATTACATGTAACAGGTTCCTTACGGCATTTTCATATGTGCTTAGTTTTGGCCGACTCCCCTATCCTTCTTTCCAACCTCCTTGCTCTCTCCTGCTTTATCCTTCCCCAGTCTTAAGCCTACCTTCCAGTTTGTACCAAGTGTGTTCTGTTCACCATTCTACCAGAGGCAGCTGTTGTTGTTACTTTCTCTTGACAGCAAAGAAATTGAAACCCAGGGAACAGTTGCCGTGATTTCTGTCTAGGTAGGCATCAAGTCAGAGTCAGAACAAGTATGACTGTAGAGCTTCTGTGCACGACAGCTGCCCTGTGTCTTAGACTTGCTTACTCATCTCACAGCATCATCCTCCAAAAGCACTGCTGAAAGAACTTCCATTCTATAATGGTACTTTACACAGATACTAGCATTTTGGATTTGTTTTGATGCTGTATAAATGCTGAAACTAAATAAAAAGTAAGATAGCCAGATTCTGTTAACTTCTGGCCTGGACTTTCAGTAACTTCCTAAGTGGGCTAGTTGCTTTTTTCATTACTCCCCAATTTATTCTTCACATAATGATGGAGTGATTATCTTAAAATAAGTTAGAGTGTGTCACTCCTGTCTGTGTGCAATAATTTTTTTTTTTAGGAACAACATCCTGAATTTTCCCATGACCCACTGCCCATCCCTACACAGCCTCCCTCTGTTCTCTTTGCTGTGATGTGTTGCCACTGCTCCTTTACTCCTTTCCAGCCACACACGTGCATTTATCCATACTTCTGACACGCCTGGCTTTGGGTGAGCTTGTTGTACTACTCATAGAGAAGCAGGGCTGTTGCTTGGTCGTTTGCTTGCTGGTCATCCTGCAAAGATGATCAGTTTTAAAACAACAACAACAAAAACTATGTATGAACTCAGATTAAAGGATGTTTTGTGAGATTATACAGAGTGAAATTTTTGTCATTATTTAAACCTGATTGTCCCATCTTTGGTCAGTGGGAGCCTTTTCAGAGGATCCCCTTAGCCTTGGGATTAGCTTCCTTGCCTCTTGGTATTATAAGATTCTTATACTTTTCTTTTTTATTTAGTTTTAATTTTTTTTAGGAAGAAATCGCTTTTCAAAGGTTCACTTAGAGCATTGGAGACGCTGCTAGGGCATCCATTGAACTGAGCTAGAGTAAAGAAACAAAATGACTCAAGTTCATACTAATATTTATCTCTAATTCAAATTCAAGACTATTATTATTTATCTTATCTCAGTTACATATGTAATACTTGAAATTTACCTAGATACAAAGAATTCTGGTATTTGTTGGGCAAAGGATGTTACAAAATTACAATATTCTGATTTTGCTAATTAATCTTGTTCTGTTCTTTGCTCACCTACATTTAATCTTACTCATCTTTAAACCAAGGGTGTGTTGTGTGCTGTCAAGAGTTTCACGGCCACTGTGCCATTCATCCCTGGTTAGTTGTCACACTTTGACTCTGCTCTCTCTGTACTTGATGCATGCCACTGGCTATTATACCTGGGCCCTGTCGTTTTGGCTCTTTGAAACCGTGGTAAGTACTGCTTTATACTTGACAGATCATGACAGCGAGGCATGAAGTGGTTAACGACTTAGCCGAGGAATTGGAGACCCTGAGTATTCGGAGCCCAGATTTAAACTGTGGTTATTTCACCTTTTAGTTGGTTCATAAGCAGTGAATTGCTTTGAACTCTGGAGTAGAAATGTTGTTCTTATAGTCTCTTAAATATGAGAAATGATGCTGGATCAAGACAGTGTATTTTACTGTTTAATTATAGAAGTTTAAACATATAGAATAACATTTCAGTCTTTGCTTTTGGGGAATCATATACTCAAGTAAGGTCATCTTCAGACCAGTAGCATGCCTAGGGGTTAGCACCATCTACTGGTAAAGACAAACAAGAACTTGCTTCTGTCTGTGTATAGCTTTTGTCCGAAAACTCCATATACTTTCATTTGAGTTGTCTTTTTAAAAAGCCATTTATGGGAGCAGTACATAGTTTATAATTTTTCTATCTATTGATTTTATGTCTAAGAATGTTTTCCTTAAACTTCCAAGCATCCTGTAGGGAGATTTCATTTAGATGAGGGAAATATAAGTCATAGTATTAAAGTCTTTTTCAAGATACAGTCATGAAATTTCTTTGGTGTCCTAACCACAGACCAGGACTATTGCAGTAGACTAATGTGGGTGTAGTTTGTGTTCGTTTGGCCCAGTTAAGTGATTCTGCCTTTGGTAAGAAGAGTTGATGGTAAATGAGGGAATGTTCTCAGTGATGAGCCCAGCGGAGCTCCTCTCTGCTTAACCTCTGCTCCCATCTTAAAACCTGTTTACTCTGGTTTATGTTGACTGTATCCTATTTTACAATAATTACTACTCTGTCATTTTTTTTTTTTATTAATAAGACCCAGAGTACTTAAAAGAATGTGAGAAATCCATTACTATCTTCTCGTTCCGTTTCTTTTTCCTTTCCTATATATACTTTTTTTTAGGTGCTTACAAGGTAGAGGTATTTTGGATATTACAAGCTTAAGGTGAAATTACAATCTTTACAGAAGAGACATGCTGTTTAGTGACTGTTTCCCAGTAATTCATCAGAGGAACATTATTATATAGCTAACTTATATTGCAGAACAAGAGTGGTTTTGTTGGCAGTCATTTGTCTTTCATGCTTATTTGTAAGTCTGTTGGACGTGACAGAGAGTTGTGCCTTTTGCGCCATGGCGACTCAGGTGGGCACAGGGGTTTTGCTAATATGTGAGGTAGTATGTGTACTTCAGAAACATCTGATCCTGGGCAATGGTGGTGCATGCTTTTTCTGTATCATTCCATTAGAAGATGTGTTGTGCTTTACATATCAAATTGCCTATTGTGAATGGAGGGAAAAATTGTATTTTCTAGTAAATACTACTGAGATAGTATTTGAGGAGATGCTGAAGAACAAATGAAGTTTAAAACTGTGGTTCACTAGAGAATGTTTGTATTATTGTTAAATTAGCAACAACTTCATTGGTTAAAACTAAGCTTATTCAACCAAATTAAAGATTGAACTCAATATTCTTTCAGCTTCATGAAAATGTATTTTCCACAACATAAGCCTATTTCCTTGTGAGTTGTCTCTGTCTTTGTATAGATTTTGACTTATGCTATAAGCTAAGGGATACAGGTCAAGATGTTAGTAGGAGTTGAAATGTCACCCTTGTGTATTTGCCAAAAGGTTGGTTTTTCTAGCCTTTTCCCTAAGAACAAAGACACTGGATGGTCATAGCCCATACCTGCTGGAATGGGTGGGGCACTTGTTTCTTCCTCTAACTTTCTTCTCAAACTGTGTGGATGAATGAAAAACCGAATAGAGCATTGCAACGTGTGTGGCTCCTCCTCTTCATGACACAGACTTCTTATATATGTATTGTGTGATTTAAAAAGCAATCTAGTATCCAGTCTGCTTTTTTGAAATCACATTCCAAGCTTTTATGGATAATTGCATTGGTTGTTTTATGCCATGTTGTTAGTGTTTATGACTTAGATGTTCACTTCTATTCTTCTGATACTATTTGCATATTGAAATATTTAAATTTTAATTTCAGGTATATTGTATTCTTTTGCCCACGTGACCTAGTTTCCCAGGGCTATTCATATCAACCTATTCAGCTCCTGGCGGCAGGAATGAAGGAAGTGACCAGAACGTGGAAAATAGTAGGCGGAGTCACACATGCTAATAGCTATTATAGAAATGGCTGGATAGTCATGATAGCTGTTGGATGGGCCCGAGGTAAACGATTAACATCTGTGTTCATACGTGTTGTGTTCTTTATGTACTGTATGTAGCTCATGAATACTACTTCTTCTTTGCTTACAGGGATAGGGATCACATACTGTAATATATCTTTTTGGAAAGTGGGAGCCTTGTCTATTTTTTTAGCTAGTAAAGTTAATTTAAAAGTTACTTATATCAGTATTAGTGACCAGCCATTTTTTTTTTTAAGGTTTATTTAGAATATGTAGTGTTCTGCCTGTATGTATGCCTTTGTGCCAGAAGAGGGCACCAGATCTCATTATAAATGATCATGAGCCACCATATGGTTGCTAAGAATTGAACTCAGGATCTCTAGAAGAACAGCCAGTGCTCTTAACCTTTGAACTATCACTCTAGCCATTATTTTGAGCCTGATGAACTTGTAAAGTTTCTTATGAATTATTTCTTTTATTGTTTCTGAATCAGGTGGAATCATAAGTAACTATTTTACCATTTATGAAATATGTTTAATATGGCATTTTGTCTCATGTAAATTAAAAAAAATGCTGAGGCTGGGCATGGTGAGGCATACCTATAATCTGAATACTTGGGAGGCTGAGGCGAGAGGATCACAAGTTTGAAGCCAGCTTGAGCTACACAGAGAATTCTAGAGTAGAAAGACCCTGTCTAAAAATGAAAACAAATTGCTTTATATTATTTCCTTGTCAGTTGTTAGAAATAGCAAATATTAATATTCACATTGCTCTAATTGCTTTCTATTCTATGTTCTCTCTCTTCCTCCTTCTTTCTCTTGTTCTTTTTCTCTCCCTTTCTTTGTCTTCCCCTCTCTCTCTCTCTCTCTCTCTCTCTCTCTCTCTCCCCTTCCCTCCCCCTCCCCCCCCCCCCCTCTCTCTCGTTCTTTCGTTCTTTCTTTCTTTCATCTCAAGTAGTCCAGGTTAGCCTCAAGCTCACTGTGTAGTTGAGGATGGCCTTGAGCTTCTGAGCATCTTGCCTCTACCTCCTGAGTGCTGAGATCACATGCAAGTGCTGCCGTCCCTGGTTTATACATTGTTGAGGACTGATGTATGCTAGGGAAATGCTTCTAACGATGTCACTAATCCTGTTGTTTTATATGTAGGAATTGACAGATTTCTGTAACCTTTGCTATGGTGTACTGTACCCAAAACTAGCCATATCAAGGAAAGAAATGTAAAGAGAGGATCTTACTTTTTCTAAAATGATTCTCTATATCTATGTCT